GGTTATGATGTAGGAGTACATCTTTACTGCACATCACCACTAGCACCCCAAGCTCATTCTCGACCTATTCATCTACAAACCATAACCCTAAGAGAGGTTTTTTAAATATTTTTATTAACAGAGGTTTTCTGTCCTTGAGTATCATGACCTCTTCAGAAGCAAAACAGCCAAGAGATTCTCTAGACTTGTGGTTCTTTATCTGGCTGAGTATTAGAGTCATTTGGGAAAGTTAAAAAATACCCTTGCCTGGGTCCACCAACAGAAGTGATTATTTTTCTGATCTGGGTAAAGCCCAGGCTTGGGCATTGTGTAAAAGTTCCCAGGGATGATTATAATATGCAGCCAGGATTAGGCCCCAGTGATTCTAAGATGGCCAACAAATTTACAGTTAAGAAAACCAAACCCCATGGCAGGGAAGAGGTTCTCTAACATAGAACATTAGAAACTCTGATGCATAATAAATCAATTCTGGGCCAGCCTATGGCCTGGTGGTTAAGGAAGCTGTTTATCCCATCTCTATCCCCACAAGGCTGACTGTGCAGTTTGAATCCTGGACCCAACTACCTGAAAAACACACTGGACTCCCACATGGCTGACCACAGTTTAAGTCCCAGACCTGGCAGCTTGCTTTCTCACTTTCCTCCTCTCTGTCTCTCTGCACACATGTGAGTGCAGAGAGATGCACTATGGCAAATTAAATAATAATAGTAACAATGAGTACAATTTTAAAAAGAAAGAAAAAGACACTGAGTGCATGTGTGCGTGTGCCCCAAAACTCCTACAGGAGGGAGAAATGGAGGAGAAGGGATTACCGTGCCACTAATTCCCATGGAGGGAGCTTTCTCCCTGTCCTCTCTCTGGTGAGTGCATACACTCTCCGGTAAATTGAAAAAAAGTAAATAAATAAATTTGAGCTGGCCTCAGAGCCTAAGGGTGAAGGCAGCCAGATTCCAAGTGGCCAACCATGAGGTTCAAGTCTCGGGCCTAGTGGCCTAGGGAAAATGCTAGATGTGTGTATACCTGTGTGCTTAAACTCCTGCAAGGAGGGAGAGATGAAGGGAAGGGACTGCCTATCATCATTCCCCATGGGGGTGCTTTCTCTTCTCCCTCTCTCTGACAAATGCACATATCCTCTAGCAAATAATAACAATTAATATAATAATATATTGCAATATAATAATAATTAACATACCACAATATAATAATAAATAATACATCACAATATGATAATAATTAATATATCACAATTCTTTCCTTTGTATCCCAGTGTTCTTACCCTCCTTTCTTTTATGTAAAACTTTTATCTAGGAAGATAAAGCAGGAAAAGTAGTATTTCAAAACTTGAACTCGGCGACATCAAATCAGAAATAAGAACTGTCCTTGCTTCTGATAACCTGCCCTCCAGGTTAAAATCGTGGTGGCTTTTATCTCTGTCCCAGGTCCTGCCGATGCTTTGTGTGAGCTCCTCACTTCCGCGAGGGTTAGTCTTGTTCACTGTCTTAGTCCTAGCCCAGCCCAGCATCACGTTTGGCTCATGATAAGCAATTAATACAAAGGTGCAAAATGAAATCAAATCAAATCAAGGTCTCTTGCATGCGTTCATCTTCAGACCAAACTCTCCATTTGTCCTCCCTGGGTAATTGTTACTGTCTTTGCTAATTTTTCACCAATTTTCTAGCCTTTTTGCTAAATCCCCAGTCTTTGATCTCATCCAACAAATTTATTTTGCATGTGATTTTCAGCCTTCACTATTCCTTCCTTCTCTCACTCCTCCTTAACAATCCATGTGTTCCTTGTTACTAATACCATGTCTGTAACTCTACTTCCTTTTCCGGTTCATACCTTGGTGCCTTGAAATTGTGGCACAGAGATGGTGGAATCAGGTTGACAGTGATTCAGTTCCAGCTCTGCTATGTAATCACTCTGAGTCTCATTGACAGCATCTCTAAAATGCATCAGTAGATAAGATATTTAAAGCTACTTCTATGTCTAGCCCATTACAGTCTCTCCACCATGCAGTCTTGCTAATGTGACCATACGGTCTTGAAACCAGGTACACTCATTCTTTCCATTGCATGCTTTTTCAAAAAGGTTTTAGCTAGTATAGGTCCTTTGCCTTTTTTAGCCTTAACTCATCTTTGAGTGAAAACAATGGATTGCTTTGTTGCTAATAACAGAAAATACCTGAAACTGGGTAATTTATGAAAAGTTTACTGGGCTCACAGTTGGGAAGTGCTAGGCCCAGGGGCCATGTCTGGGGGCGGGGGGGGGGGGCCTTTCCTATCCTGAGAACAAGACACAGCAGAGTGGCCATCCATGAGTCTCTCTGTTCCGGTCCTATCCTCTCTCCTTACAAACCCACCAGGTCTCAGTTATGGGGCCCCCATCCTAATGTCCTTAATACTAATCTCTCCCAAAGGCCCCACATTCCAGCCCCATAATTGGACTAAATTTCCACTTTCTTAATCCCATTTCAAGGGCTCAACTCATGAATTTTGGGGAAACATATACAAACTAGAGCAGTAAGTTACTTAACGTCTCCGTGTGCTTCAGTTTATTTATCAAATGGGATAATGAAAGCCTCAACCAAGTTATTACAGGCAAAAACTCAGTCAATATTAGCTCTTCTTTTTATAAGTTATACTCAGAAACTCTTGCATGTCCCATGTCCTTTCCTGTGTAAGGCCTCCAGGCCAGAAGTTGGAGGGCTCTAGGAGTCTACAAAAAGCCTTGTAAAGTTGCATGCGGAACATTATGTAAATTGCTGGTGTGTCTTTCTCTGAAGGGCAATAGAATTGTCATTAGAGGGGTCAATAACCCACAAAGATTACAACATCTTCCCAAGGACTAGTCAACTTTGTCCTGATGCTTTTTCTAAAATGACCCCAAAATAACCCTGTACTAGAAGTGCCCTCTCGGCTTCAGGCTCTGCTCCATGTGGTCAGCCTCAACCAAATGCAGGTTTCTGTCCACAAGAAAAAGCCCGCCCATGAGGTTCCTGTGCATTTTTTCACAACAGCAAGACCTACCAGAAAAAGCAGCAGGAAAAGCCTAAGACCAAAAAGGGCTTCAAAACCCCAAACCCATCCTTAGAAAATTTATTTCACCAACCTTGAGAACTCGTTTTCTTATCAGTTTTATTTTGTCAATCTTTATTTACCATGTCATTTAGAAGGGAAAGCCTTTAATTGGAGAAATACTTCAGTTGGCATTTTTCTGTACAAATTAATTTATAAACAAATAAGCCGTGTCTTCTTTGCTTAGGGTACTTGAGTAAGAACAGTTAAAATCAAAGGTCAATTTACTAATTTATTATGAAAGTATTTTCCTCCTGAGGGCATTATTATCTAGGCATCAATATACAGAAGGCTGGAGCACTTGCTGTATCTTACCAGGTGGAAATGGAGGTAAATTAGTGTAAACATCTTGGGGGACAATGTGACATCCACGACATTAAGAAACCCATGAGTAAAGGACAGCCACTTGAAACAGTATGTGGAGTCATAAAAACTCTTAAGTCACTAAATGGCTAATCAAATAATGTGTTAATGAGCACAGTGAAATATGTAACCATTAAAATTAGAAGAATCTATACGGACACTGAATTACCTCAGACATACTTACATAAACATTTAGCACATAAATGCAAAAAAAAAATCTTTAGAATGAAGACTAGTTAAGTCATTATCTCTGAGAAACGGGTCTATAACAGCCCCATAGCCTAGTGGTTAAGGGAGTTGGATCTCACATGGCCGACCATGCTGGAATCCCAGTCCTGATGGCTTGAAATAGTATGTATTAGTGTATCCCCATATTAGATTCAACTTAAGACTTTATTTCTTCAGGTAAAATGGTTTTACTTTGTTCTTTTTGGAAGCTTGTGGGATTTTTTGTTTACCCTTGGAGTACTGACATTCTTCGGGACCCATCTGGCTGTGAGCTTTTCCCCTCCTGCCTGGTCCACAGTTGCCATATGAGGATCCAGGTTTTCTTGGGCCAAGGGAAGCTTTCTTGTTATTTGCGTATGTTTCTGGGTCAGTTGCTTAAATTTATCCTTTTCTTTAGATTTTTTTAACAAATATTTGCTATAAGACACATGAGCTCTCTGGAGAGACTATGGGTTCAACCTAATGTTCAAAGTCTTCTGGACGGCACAAAGGGAAGTCAGCACGGCCAAAACCACTGCGTCCCTCCACTACAGCTTCTTCCATTGGGACTGAACTAGGCAAACAGCACCACCTGTCATCAGTTGTCAACCTTGATACTTCCCCCCCTCAGTGGTCTGAACATTTGCAAAGCCCCCAAACTCCAAAAACGTTGAAATCCTTTCAAGAGGATATTAGGCTGGACTTTTGGGAAGTTACTTAGGCCATAAGGATGGTCCTATTAGGAGTCTTAGACTCCAGAGCTAACTCCTCCCTTCCACCACTCAAGGACACAACTACATACAATATAGAACAGGAAAGCAGGTCCAGCCCAACCTCTGGGACCATGAAATAAATTCCTGTTGCTCACACACCACCTGTTCTAAGAGTCTACCCTCTAAAAAACCTTGAATCCATCCACTTGTACCACCAGCTCCCACAGGATATTGCAAATATTTTACTGCACACAGAAAACCATTCTCAAGGCAGTGGGTAATTGTTCTTTTATCCACTCGCACCTTTCAGATCATGACCCCTGCTTAAAATCTATGTTTCTTGCTACTGGTCTCTAAATGATGTAGCCCTGGATCAGCTGTGTCTACCTTTGCAGGCTCACGACCACTCTGCAGGTTGTACTCTGCACCAACGGGACTCCATTGGCCTGACAACTTCAGTTCTGCTTCCTGTGCCTGAAACACACGCTCCACCCAGACCCTGCCTCCCTTCCCAGGTCATAGTCCCAACGCATGAGGATTCTAGCCACCATGAAGACACTGTAAAGGCAAACACTCTGAAGTTTATGTATATACCACCTAGGAAACTATCAAAGGAAAACGATCATGTAAATATACACTCTTAAATGGAACTCAAGATTTACAAGCAGTGATTTTTATTCATTCATAAACTAAAAGCCTATTTCCAGATGATTCTTTCTCATGTACCCAGCATGCTTTACTTAGTAAGCAAAGCCTCATAAGGCCAGGCTTCAACTAATCCTCAGACTCTGACCCTTCTTCATCTTGACTGATCTGGAAGTAACGAAGTTCGTAAGTCTCCTTGTCAGATGCAACCACACGAAGCCAATCACGAAGGTTGTTTTTCTTAAGGTATTTCTTGGTGAGGTATTTCAAATACCTTTAAAACAAAAACATGAATTTATTTAAGAAATAGAATCCCTACTATGTACAGTACTACAGAGCATATACAATCATTTTTCTCATTGTATCCCCAGTCCTTCCAAAATATTTCATCTTTTCATTTTCAGTTTATGCTCTAATGATACTCTCAACACTATCTCCCTAAAAAATTGACTGGTCGACAGGGCCAAGTCCTTCTGCCTTTGGCTAATGCTGCTTCCTCATTCCATTGGTAATCATTATGCACACTGAGTGAATTACCCAAAACTCTTTGTGCCCCACCCCTACTTCCAGTATAGCAATTACAAAACTTGATTTTACAGTAGCCATCTGTAATGGTCTAAGAGCTTTGAGGACAGCGACATTTCCCTCTGAAAATTCACAGGGACTGATCCACAAGCTCCCAGTTAATATGCACACTGTAGTTCAAGCTGCCCTGCCCCCAATGACTCTTCTCCCCAAACACACCAGCCCCTTTCATATTACTTTCACCTGCAAGGTTTCCAGTTCATTCTGCCGCCTGGTACAATTGCTCCCCTCTCTACACCCTCACACAGCACTAACCACGGCTGTCGTTCCATCTTACGGTTTCTTCTCCACTAGAGAACTTCCGGGCTGGTTGGTAGTATGCCTCTTGTTACGCTGTTTGGTTACCCAGCCCTACAACAGTGCTGCCATGTAGTATTTGACATTTGTCAACTAAGTTGAGTGAACAAAATTTGGCAGCAAACTGCTTTGACTGGTTGCCTTTACTGAGAAACCAGAACCTTAAATTTTTGAAAGATAACAGTTCCATCAATAAATTGGAACACTTTCTCCCAGGTACACACGAAATATTTCTTGCAACACATTTGAAGAGTAAAGGACTCAACATTCAAATTTATATTCAGCCTGGATTAACAGGGCCTATGATCCACTGGACAGATATCCTGTGCATGACTTGTCTCTGTCCACCCCAGTAGTAAATGACACCGCCAGCCAGCCCAAGCAGCTGGCACTATTCCTGTGTTTTCCAATCATGCAGACCTTCAGCAAAATTCAAAGCCCACATTTGATCTTTTCACTGGCCTATCAACACTTGTTCTTGTCGATTACAAACACAATTCTCGGACTATATACCCCACAACCATAGTTTCATTAAAACTTACGAAGCAAGTACCAACCTTTTAGAGAACTGTTTCTCAGAAACAACTGTGATTTTATTCTTGAGGCGTTCAATGTGAACTACATTTCCAAGGTTGCCAGTTTTCCCATTGACTTTAACCTTTTCCCGCAGAAACTGTTCCTATTTTAAAACAGAAAAAATGCAAAACTAGGGAAGAAAACCCTAGATATTCACTAGGGAAGGTACCCTAGGAATTGAACTTCGGTTAATATCAAATAGTACATACTCAAGTCATTATCAAAAACTCTACAACTAATAAAAACAACTGAGTAGGATACTTACAAAATTGCCGGAGTCAAAAATTCCGTCTTCTACTGGATGAGTAAGGTCCAAATTAAACTTCCAGGTTGACCTCTTAGGCTTCTTGTCTTTCTGCTATAGAAAGGTAACATTACCATGCCGGCGCCTATTAACCACTTGTGGAAGCAGTACAGTCCTTATGCCCCCTTAGGAGCAACCAGAACCTCAGAGCCAGATTTGTTCAAACTGTCCAGAAAAGCCTTTATATTCTATGTCTATAACCCTAGGAACCAGAACTCGAGGCTGGCCTAGGTAATGAAACACACCTGTCTAAAAAGGGAGTGGGAAGGAACCTTGCCTTGCATAAGTTTTTTCCATTCTAGTATCCTACACAAGCAAAACACTGCACTGACATTAGTCACTGCATAAAAACAAACTCGTATTTAATCACCTCCAAATAAGATCTACCCTAAAGGGAGTGCCGGTCAGCTTTCTCAGGGAGCCAAGTGACCTGTGCTAAACAAGTTGTTCAACACTTGCAAGGAGAAACGGCAGGCCCGGGTGCGGTCGCACCAGCCGGCCCAAGCCCTGCCCTCCTGGCCGCGCGCCCCAGCCCGCGAGGCCAGCTCGGCGCGCTCCAGCTCCTCCAGACCGCATGGCCGCCGCCGGGAGGCTCCAACTCAGCACCTAACGAGTCCGCGGCGCTCCTGCCCCAGCTCCCGAGCCTCCTCTCCCGCCAAGTCCGTAAGGCAGCTCACTCGCCAGATGCAGAAACGCTTTACACTGAGCCCGGCCAAGCCCACCCGGACCCCGCTCACTCACCGGCGCCATCTTGAGAGCCAGCCGTGCAGTCAAAAAGGAAGCGGCTCCCCCGCAGAGCGTATTTATATGGAGCGTGCTGCGTCACGCGCAGAACGTGGGGCCACGCCCCCGGAAGAGGACGCACGGAGGGCCGTAACCCAGGAAACCGGGGCGTGGCTCCAGGCAGGCGGGAAGGCTGGCGGCCAGGCGTCCGGCGAGCGCCCCCGAGCGGCCGCGGTTGAAGTGGTTCTCGGCTCTCCACGCTAGCGGCGAAAACCCATTGACCAGGAGAGCTTCGCGGTGGCAGGTGGTTTGAGTTTAAGTCTCCAGGTCCAGGACTCGAACCGTAGTCGACTACGTGGGAGTCCAGCGACATCACCATTACGCAACCTGCTGGTCCTAAAAATACATATTTTTAATATGTTTAAAATCCAATATTTTTCAAGGTTTTTTTTTTGCTATAGGGCACATGTACTCACTACAGAGAGACAGTGAGACGGAAAGTAAGGAGTCACACCCCCCCACCCCCCCCAGAGGGAATGGCCATGCTGCAATCCCTTCTCCACTCTCCTGGGATTTTGGCCACACACACACACACACACACACACGTGCCCTGAGTGATTTTCAAGCTGCCAGGTCTGGGATTTGAACCATGGTCAACCATGTGGGAATCCAGCTCCTGAACCACCACAATACTCGCTGGTCACGAGAGCTAAAAATTTTATAAAAATGTGATAAGGGAGCCAGGGACAATCAAAATTGGCCAGCATTAAAGAAAAAAAAGGATTGAAAAAATCCCTAGAAATTAAAAGTAGAAAAACTGAAATTAGTGGACGAGTTAAGCAGGGGAGTGGATACAAAGAGGAAAGCAGTGAACAGGAAATTAGGCAGAGTGTAAACACAGAAACTAAAGGGAACACATGAAAGGTAATTTATTTCGCAGTAAAAGTGGCCAGTTAAAACTGGGAGACCCAGAGGATATAGTAGAAATAACAGGGAAAAGGCAGCATTTAGAGAGACAATATCTGAATTCTCCCATTCAGGAAGCCCAGTAAACCCCAAGCACAATAATTTAAAAGAAATGCACACCTAGATACATTGTAGTGAAACTTCAAAATACAAAAGACAAAATTATCTCAAAAGCACCGTAGAGAGGACGCACTGTAGAGAGGAAAAACAGAACTTCCACAAAAGAAGTTAAATTAACAACAGTTAATGGTCAGCAACAACGGAAACCAGAGGCAAAGCAATATTATCTTTAAAGTGCTGAGAGAAAACAGCTGTCTACCTAGAGCAATCTAACCTTATCTTTCAAGAGTAAAGACCCATTCAAGGTATATTTAGGTAACAGAACTGAATGCTTGCTACTAATAGATCCTCAGTAAAGGAATCCTGAAAGACATAGATTAGGAGGGAGGAAAATGATCCTAGGAATAAGATGTGCCTACCTCTCAAAAGAAATGGTGAGTAAAAATGAAATGGGTAACTAGTGAATAAATGTAAACAAATACCAACTGTACCCAACAGTAACAATCCGGTCTCATTTGTAGGCTTAGAGTGTTGTTGATGTTGTATTTCCTGATCTTTGTGGTGTTTACATGAATGTGTTTAGTTTGTGAAAACTCATCAAGTTGTCAATTATAATCTGTTCATTTTTCTATATGTTATGCTTTCATTAAAATTAGAGAGTATATTACTGTAAGGCAAAGTATGACAAATTAGATGAAAATATTCCTAGAAAAATACAATTTACTATAGAATTTATACAAGGAGATAAAATATGTGAATAGTCCTATATCTTTTAAATAAGTTGCATTTTTAACTAAAAATTTCTTAAAAGAAAAATATCCAGATAACCTCAACAGTGACTTCTACCAATATATGAGGAAAAAAGAATGCCGTTGTAGCGTTATGCCCAAATGCACATTCCATTAGTTTACCTTCTAATCCTGAAGATGACAGCATCTATCCACAGCTTCCTGTCTCCCATTGATAGTGGTTGTCCTCGGGGTATTAACTCTCTTGCACTTCCAGACTGTAAACGTGTGAGCGTTGATAGAGAGGTTCTCACACGTGTCCCATGCCCGTGTCTGAGAACCACAGGTTATGGATATTAGCAATACCAGTCCTGGAGATCAAGCAACAACTGCCATGTTGCTCTGGCATGGCTCACTGAGGAAGCGAGAAGTTCTAGAAGGACAGTGTACAACAGGAAGAGATTGAGCCACCCAAAGATGAAGCTGTTCAGTTGGTGTGGATTAGGTATACTGAGGATTAGAGAAATGGCCAAGGATTTGCTGCAGGGACGCATTACGCCACGCACATCATTGTGGAAAGCACAACCACCCCAGAACCTCGGAGGTCTTAAGTGTAGGAAGGACCCTTAATTTCTTCTGCATTAAGTATCTGTGGAAGGATCCATAAAAAGGGAAGATGAGGGCCAGCCAGTGGCGTGGTAGTCAGGGCAGTTGAATTCCATATGGCCAGCTGCATGATTCAAGTCCCAGACCCAGCGGCTTGAAAAATATGTGGGCACACATGCATGCATGCCCAGAACCCTGAGAGAATGGAGTAGAAGGGATTGTGGTGTGGCCAACCCCCACAGAGAATGCTTTCTTACTTTTTTTCTCTCTCTGGGGACCACACATATTCTATAGCAAATTTAAGAGAAGGAAAAAAAAAAAAAGGAAAGATGGGAAAATGTGTTGTACCTGTTGAATTTTGAACCAGGTGACTATTTTACATATTTAAAAGGACTATTAAAAATTTTAAAATACAAATAGCTCAACCTAAAATTTAGAAATTAATATTCACAGCCTTGGGAACCAGCAGTTGGCGTAATGGCTATGTCGCTGGACTCCCACGTAGTCGACCGCAATTCGCGTCCCGGACCCGGTGGCTTAAAACTCACGCCAGGCGCGTGTGCGTGTGTGCTCAAGATCCTGAGAGGAGAATGGAGGAGAAGGGATTGCTGTGTGACCACCCCCCTGGGGGGTGATTTCTCGCTTTCTGTCTCTATGTCTCTCTCTGTCTGTCTGGCGAGCGTACGCACCCTATAGCAAAAATCTCTCCAAAAAAAAAAAAATATATATATATATATATTCACAGCTATAAAGCTAGGACACTCTCGCTGTAAGGACCTAAATTCTAAAAACATGTCATAAAAACAAAAGGTAGATTTTCTTTTCAAGGCCAGCCCTGTAGCCTAGTAGTTAAGGAATCTGGCCTGGGGACATGTGTGTGCTTGTACATCCCACACCCTGACAGGAGGAGAAAGAGAAGGGATTGCAGCGTGACTACACCTCATTGCTGTTGGGGGTGACCCCCCTCATCTCCCTGTTTCTCTTCGGTAAGTGCACGCTAAGGCAGTGTGTTCCCCAGGCTGGGGTCACGTGGGAGGCTGAGTCTGACTTCCGGTCTGACCCAAAGGCTATCATGGTAGTGTACACCCGTAGTCCTAGCTTACTCGGGAGGCTAAGCCAGGAGATCATGACAGCCAAGATTCTGTCTTCAAGTTTAAAAAAGAAAAAGTGACGTATACATTAACTGATGCAGTTTTCTATTATGACTGGCTTTTAAGAACGTATCTATACAAGAATAGTACAAGCTATTAATTAACTTTACTTTTATTTAATATAACCGATGAAGTTAACAGACAAATATTTTAATGTAACAAAAAGTTATAATTGATAAGTTTACCATTTACTTTTTAAAGATATTTTAGTATAGCCAAAGACTTAACATTTGAATTTTATCCATTTTTGAAATGTAAAATGCACAATTGTAATACCCATGACTTATCTGACAATTTTAAAGTTTTAGCTGAAACATTTGAGACTCCGCATGTAAAAGCAAGAGTTCCATACCTAAGACAAATAAAACATATTCTTAATAAAGTGCCACTGGATTAGACAGAACCATTTCAGTTACTTCCTTTTTGTGGAGGAGGACAAAAGGACATACCAGTGTAGAACTAGTTGTTTTTCATTGTACTAGCATAGAACTAGTAATCTGCATTCTACTTTGTGACAAGTACAAGAGTGCTTTTTTGTAGTAGACAGTAACCACCCTGAAGAACCCTTTCAAGAAAAACCCCAACTCGGACCTACGGCGAGCTGCCCAGTCACTGCTCACTACCGTTAGCGTTGAGGGTTTTTAAAAAGTGTGACTTTGAACTAAGACAAACCGAAGTCTAACAATACCAAGAAATATTTTCAGGGACTTTGTACCAATAAAAGAACCTCTAGCATAAGATCGGTTTCTACCTGTTGTAAGGAGGGGAAAAGTGGTGGATGGCGATGTTTGGCAATGAGTACGTGACTGCTCTAAGGTGTGTCTTCCACGGAAAGAACACGTGCTTGTTAGATGTACTCAGCACTTTTTAGGCACTTGACCTCGCTTGGTAGTTAAGTTGGTGTTCAGGTGTTTGTTGACTGGAAAACACTAAATTAGATAGTGACTGCAAGCCATGTTCCCATAGAACATCTGTGTTCTGTGCGATAAATCCCAATGTTCCCTGCTAAAATCAAATAATGATGCCATATGCCCGATTCTGAGAGACAAATTTCATAAAGTTGATAAACTGAATTTTCTCAATTTTAAGATTTCCCACCATAATTTTTTCTTAAATCTGATGCCTATTACTTGTCTAAATACTAGCAGAAAAAGGCTTGAACACTATGAAAGAGTATGTCTAAATATTAGAAAACTTGAAAGTTGACCAGTGTAATATGCTGTTTATGGAAATATGCTTCTATTTTTGCTTTCGACTGCTGAAGAGCCATATTTTCTGACGGTAAATATATTCCTACTTCGTATTACTGGATTCAGTATGTAAACATTTCAATGTGCCCAAAAGACCATTATGAATTTCGAATTGTTGTCCGTAAATATTTGAGAACCAGTACCTCAGTGTCTGGCTCTAAAACCATCTCTGGAGGCCATGCCACAGGAACGCTCATGGCTATGTTCCCAAGGATTGGGTTCCAAGATACGTCTACCAAATTCTATTCTAATGTGAAAAAAAATGTGGCAAGATTCCAGTTTGGATGCTGTTTCCATTTTTTTCTTGAGTACTAAGCATGTACTTTAAGCATGTTGCTATTAAGGATACTTTTATATGGATGTGTCATGGTATTATAATTGGGGGAAATTTTGCAATAGACTTTCAGGCAGTTAGCTCTAAAGTAATGAAACTTCAGCTCTTAGCATAAACAGCCCTGAGAACAATGCATTCAAATTACAGTTCAACTAGAAATAATCTACTTGAGAGACCTTGAAGTGTAAAAACAAATTCTGGAAAAGTTGTAAATTAAACCAAAAAAGTTACCAACATTTGAGGCACTACCAGACTACAGTACTTGTAAGAGTTGGAGGGGCTCTGGAGAAAGAAACATACAAAGCTGTGTGCTCGCGTGCGCACACATGTTGTGCTGTGATGAAAAACTGTTCCCAAACTTGACGGCCTCAACGTTTCACTGCAGCATCTGCTGTCGAAGATGGCATGCTGTGGCCGCGGCAGAGTTTGGTGACTCATATCAAGTACCGGTACAGAAGCTTGTACCATTGAGGGACACGGCATCAAGAGCTTGCTCAGCAATCATTTCAAGTGACAGACAGCCCTTGGAGGGAAGCATGTAAGCAGCATCATGAGTATGTTTGCGATGCGGATGCTACGCCCAAGTAGCAACAGTTACACCACGTCTGAGGGCACACAACTCTGCAGCAAGTAAGGTATACCAAGGTTTTCACATTAAAACTAAAATACGTCGTTCTGGAGAGACAAATATTCAACCTGCCGATATAATACTGTCTATAAAGTGGTGAAATGTGTACAGACAAAAAGAGCTTATCATTGCATCATCTGTTAACATGACCAGCTGCATCCTACACATGGTAACTTGTGGTATTTAACATATACTACAAAAAGTACAACAAATACTAGGAATCGACTGTTAACATTTATCTGATGTCAAAAAAGGATGAAGTCACTTCTGTTCTATGTTAAAAAATAGAATGTTCCCTGCTTCCTTTTAATATAATTTATAAAGCTCCGCTAAATGAAATATTTTGTCCTAGAGAAACATCTATTGACTTCTGTGAAAATAAACAGTCCCATATCTTTAAAATCTATACTTATACTTCAGAAGAGTATTTACACTTCCTATGTACTTAAAATGAAATATTTACGCGTAAATAGCTTTTGCCATTCAAGGTATGTAGAGATGCATTATTTTAATTTGTACACCCTTACATTGCAATTGAAAATAGATTTATGTTAAGTCTGACAAGTTAGGAAAAACAAGGGCATGCTAATCTGGAATTAATACTAAATCAGAATACTAGCATGGCTAACTGGGGGTGTGAACGACCAGCAAGCAGCACAGATTAATAACTTTCTGGAATTCCTGTGGGTAACAATGCCAACCAGTAGCAGGTAAGATACACATTACAGAGTGCTAAAAATCTAGAGCAGTATGTAGTGAATACTTAAATAGAATACTGGAAATAATTTAGCCTAATTCTAATTGTGCTTTTGATGGGCAAAAGCTAAAATGTTTTACTAAAAACAATGAACTACAACCTCAATTATTTCTTGTGCTTTAGAACTCTCCTCCTCGCACTCCTCTTCAAGTATCTTGTTTCTTCTCCAAATGGATTTGCTGAGGCCAAGACCAGATTTAAAGGTTTATATGCATTAAGAAACTAAAATTTCAGGATCTTCTGTTCCTAAGGCTATTTCTAGTCACTGATGAGATCAGTTGCATTTTCCTATCTATTTCCTTCTGATAGGAAGGAAGGCCTTTCGGGGTACAAGGGAGAGGCATAACCAGTTTTAGGGAATCAAGGTATTAATGAGATGGTGTTCATTCTAAGTTTCATTCCAATGTAATGATTGTTACTGAGCGAAAGGTCCTCATGACCCTGGAGTAACATCTAAACGTCTGCCTATCTGTAACACATGATCCAAAAGAGTAAATAAAAATGTAGTGGTACCACTTAAAACGCCTTTAAAATCAGTGTACAGAATCTTTCGTAGTTATACTTCATGCCAGTAAGTAGATCAAGTCACTGATGATCCAAAACAAAACAAAACAAAACGCATAAGTTAATAATTTTCACATAAAGTAACATTTCATGATTTCACTTTAGAAAATGTACATAAATTTGACAAACGTTCCAAATAAATTTAAGTGATAATTCCCAGTTATCTAATAAATATTGAAATGTTAAAAAAACCTCCTTAACAAATGGATAGAAAGGAGTGATTACTAATAAATACCAATGCTTATTCAATATACTTGTAAAAAAAAAAAAAAAGGTACTTCATAGTATGCTGTAGAGAAGGTTATTCCTTCCCATACTGGCATGGGCCAAGAGGAGTAAAAGTTAAAAGCAAAAAACCAAAAAACAAACAAACAAACAAACAAACAAAAACCCAAACAAAGGCCTAAAAAAGCAACTTTCTATTTTTATGCTGGTTACAAAGGCCTCAAATAAAAACCTATCGCGTTACCCCCCCACCTCGCCACTGTCCTTTGTGTCTTCATAACTTGACTTGCTCATGTTCACCCAAGAGCTCAATGCCTGTCAGCCATGAGCAGGTACTCAAACAGCCACGTAAGGTTGCATGATATTAAGTCTGCCAACAATCTGACGGAGACTAGAAGTGACTGAGGTAATACATGTGGTTTCACATGGCCACCAGAATAACTGATACTATCGGATAATATGGTCTGTGTTTGCCATGCACAGGCTGAAATTGAGAAATTCCAATCCATAAGCCCCGTGCTCTATGATATTAAGCCTGAAATTAATATAGAGCAATTCAACTTAAATGTGGTACTTCAATACCACTAGATGCTACATTGTTTGTTAAACCCTGGTTTGTTTATCATTAACTAAGATACAGGAATGATTTGCTCCTACAAATCATGTTTGCTGAAGCTATCTTGTCTGTTTCGTGGACTCACATACCAAAAACCACAGGAATGTTGTAGGAAAGATATTTACAAAATTAAAAAAAAATTACACATCTTGATTATTTTTTTTTAAATTACCAATTGCCTGTAAAACTAACCCAGCACATTTTTAAAACAATTAAAAAAAAAAAAAAAGGAAATGAGGTTGCTTATGAAGGCCATAGCTTTGGTGACAACTTAGAACCAAACTTTAGGTTGGCAGGTGATCCGGACCTGAACAGTTTGATCACCCCTGATGGTCCCACTTATTTGCAGGGCTTTATGGCTACAGCATATTCTTCACTCATTGCACACATGACCGACACCTAGAAGAAAAACATGAAAACAAAAGTTCAGATGGCAATTCACGTAGAAGATATATTTAGTTCCTCACCTATTGTCTATTTGTGGATATTTTGCCCATACTGACTCTGGAAAGGGGCATTCAAAAAGACACATACAAATAATGTACATTCTCTACAGTTTTTTAAAGTAGAACTTCTTAAACTCTGGTTTGTAAAACAACTTTCAGGGAACAGGAAGAATAAGAGCTAGAAATGCTTTAATTTATTTATTTGGATTTTTTTAAAAAAAATTTCTAGAGGTTGTGTGTACTTGCTGGAGAGACACAGAGAGAAACAGAAAAGGAAAAGTGAGAAAGCTCTCCCTATGAGGATGGCCATGCCACGATCCCTTCTCCATCTCTCCTTTCATGATTTTGAGCATACATGCACACGCGCCTGGCGTGTTAGTGTTACCAAGCCGCCAGTCTGGGACTCAAACCATATAGTTGCCCAGGTAGAATCTAGCCACCTTGATCACACCACCAGCTGGCCCAAGAGCGATAAATGTTTTAATACTTACTAGATGTTATGCTTCTGAAAGTTGTAATAAAGACTAAATCTCCTTCGCTCCTTAACAGTCTCTTAGCATCCTCTTTTATCCTTAAGAATGGCTCAGGGCTAGTCCTCTGGCCTAGAGTAAGGGAGCTAGATCCCATATAGCTGACCATGTGGTTTGAATACTGGCTCTGATAGCTTGAAAAACACGCCAGAAGCATCTATGTGTATGCTTAAGATCGCAAAAGGGGATGAAATGGAGAAGGGATTGTGGTGTGATCATATCCCACTGGGGTATTTTCTCCTCTCTCTCTGGTAACTGCATGTGTCTTCTAGCTGAATTGAAAAAAAAAAGTTGAGATGTAGATCCTCAACCTGAATTCGGGGTTGACAGTGCATGTAGTTAAAATGAACTTCCAAATTTTCTTCGGTAATAGATCTCTAAGGGTATCTTGGCAAAACTGCTTTATAGAGATCATTTTAAACATTTTAGCAGTTCAAACTTCACTCATGATAGAGAGACTGGACCTTCAGCAGTATTTTAAACCTACATTTAATAGATACTGCCTTATGCTAACTAGTTTAGGCCAAAGTTCCAAAGTTTTAATAATTGTTTTTTTTTTTTTTTTAAACAATCTCCTGGGGCCAGCAGGTGGCATGGTAGTTAAGGCACCAGACTCCTATATGGCCGACTACCAGATCGGGAGGTTTGAAAATTGTGCTGGGTGCCGGGATTGGCAGGTGGAGTGGTGGTTCGGATGCTGGACTCCCACATGGTCAATTGCAGTTTGTGGCCTGGTGGCTTGCTATCTCACTTTCTCAGGCCGACAGGTGGCATGGTGATTAAAGGCACTGGACTGCCACATGGCCAAACACGGTTTGAGTCCCGAACTTGGCGGCCTGCTGTCTCACTTTCCCTCTCCATCTCTCTCTTTCTCTCTGTCCCTTTCTGGTCAAATTAAACGAACTAACAAAATAAAGTTAAAAAAAATAGTTCTTAAAAAAAAAAAAAAAGGGAAATCACACTGGGTGCACGTGCTGGAGTGGCCAAAATCCTAGGAGGAGAATGAAGGAGAAAAGGTTGCAGCATGGCCATCCCCACTGGGGCTGACTGCTCACTTTCCCTCTCACCATTCCTCTAAGTCTCTCTTTGGTGAGTGCATGTGCCCTAAGGTAAAAACATAAGACAAACAGACAAATCTCGCCACCCGTCCTTACCTGTACATCTTCACCTGCATTGTATTTTCCTTCAATTTCTTTGCCCAGTTCACCTTCTGGCAGCTTAAGATCCTCACGAACCTCACCGGTCTCTGTCAGCAGGGAGAGGTAGCCATCCTGAATGCATATCAGCTGTTGGGAGACACGGCACCATTGGCACAGGTTAGGCTATCTCCAGTCCTCGGTAATGTGTTGCTAGCTAAGTTGTAATCCACGTTCATCCGCATAAGGACACAGTAATACATTAGTATATCCTTGATGTTTAAAAATGCTAAAAATACACAAGGTAAAGTATGTTCAAGGTGAAAGTGTAAGTTCATGCCTCCTGATAGTCCCTCCGCCCAATCTGTGCGTTACTAAACAGTTTAGGCTTCCTCATACTACATCTCAAAGCATTTACATTTATGAACACAATACAAGTACGGCTGCCTTTAAAGAAATTGGGTATTTTTCAGTAAGTTGTTTTTACTTAATTATGCATTAGAAATCTTTCCAAATCAGAAAGTATGTACCTACATTAGTGTATTTAACTACTATACAACTGTATGACTATACTGTAACTGATTTAAGCATTTTTCCATTAATGGGCATTGAAGGTATTTTAAAATTTTTACTATTATAATGAATTTATAATTTGATTATGAACAAAGTTAAGTGGTAAATTTCTGGCCTCCACCCCATGTCAACAGATTTAAAATACACACACACACAAACACACACACACACTGCTAGAGCAGCGGGGGCATGGGATTAATCACCTGTTTACAAGGCAGATCTTTCTGGTTTCTACTCTGTTAGCAATTTACTGACATGGAATTTGTTCATTTCAAGAGCTAAAGGTATTGCCTTTAGTGACTGAAACATAGGAGCCAACTTATAAAACTGGTATTTTTGATAATTATATAATGGTGGTATTTTATTTTTTAAGAGCTAAGAATTTATAAAGTAAACCACTGGGTCAAATATATAAAGTATTTCAAATGTAAAAATGTAAAAATATCATGTAAAACAAGTATGTATAAATATTAACCATTTTATTAAAATGAATCACAATATAAGTTTTAAAAAGTAAAACCAAGCTACAGAAATATAAAATTAAGTAATAAAAATAAATTAATTTCTTAAAATATTAAGAAATCTTTAAAGGAATTACTTTTTAATTTATTATTATTTTTAATTTGCTATAGGGCATGTGCACTCACCAGAGAGAGGTAGAGAGAGAGATAGAGAGAGAGAAGGAAAGTGAGAAAGCTAGCTGCCAGGTCTTCTAGGACTTGAACTGTGTGATTGGTCGTGTGAGAGTCCAGCGCCTTAAGCACCACACCACCTGCTGGCGCACAATGTAGTAGAATTTCGGAAAGGGCACTGTAACCACTAAATGCTGGGAGGCACAGCAGGCAAAGCATGAATTGCGATGCAGAATGTGAGGAGAGTCAGGGACTGCAGCTTCTGTGCATGATATAGTCAGAATAAGAACATTAAAAAGGAAGACTCATAAGGAAAGATTTCTGCGTGTATTTGTATTATTTGTATACAACAGAAAGCTAGAGCAGGTATGCCATCACCACAGGCACTCTGTGAGCCCTAACTTCTGAATTTAATTTTGTTTCTGAATCTACTTCGAAACAACCAGATTAGTTTTACTAAGGTACGTTCCTTGCTTCTTTCTTTTCTCACGGAGCTCTTGAGTTTCTTCCTTAGAGCTGCTGGTCCCTGGTAGAGACTGGATCAGTCATTATTACATATAATCTGGGCAAATAATAACACAAGCTGAGTATTATTTGCCCCATCGAGCCATGAAGTTGGCTATGCACAGAAGCATTCCATCATCAAGAGGAAGTAGATATAGACCCAACTTGTGGTCCCACAGGCACAAGCAAGTTGTATAAGAGACTCAGACTCAAAAAGCACCTTTTCTCCTACCACACTGATGCTTTTCCTGGACTCATACCAATGGTTCAATAGAGTTCCCTTATCCACATGATTGAGAAAGAAAATCAGAGTGATTTCTAGATGGCTATACTTTATATGATGACAGAGGAAGAGGCCCCGAAAGACAGTGGCATGGAAAGAATTTTTTTTTCTTTTTTTGGAGAGGTTTTTGCTATAGGGCGCGTGTACTCGCCAGACAGAGAGAGAGAGAGACAGAGAGACAGAATGCAAGACATCACCCCCCAGGGGGGATGGCCACGCCGCAATCTCTTCTCCTCAATTCTCCTCTCGGGATCTTGGGCACGCACGCACATGCGCCCAGTGTGAGTTTAAGCCACCGGGTCCAGGACTCGAACCATGGTAGACTACGTGGGAGTCCAGCGACATAGCCATTACGCCAACTGCTGGTCCCTGGGATGGAAAGAATTTTAAGCTTTGAGTTTGAAAAGAAGAGGGAATCAGAGGTGAGGATTTAAACAGATTATGGATAACGGCTAAGAGTTTCGCTAGATGGTCAAGGGCACTGAAAGACGAAGATAAAACTGCTGACAATAAAGTATAAGGAAGTCACATATGGACAGACCTCTCCAAATAATCAGACTATTTGTCTGGAGGAGTCTGACCCAGTAGGGCCCCAGGATCTGTTTTGAGCCTTTGACCTTTTGAGCACAGCTTTGGCCAGCTCAGCATGTTGGCAAGGCTGCTGCTGTAAGTCCCCCCCAACCCCCCCCCCAGAGACTGTGGTAGCCTTGCTGGGAGGTGACCCCCCTCTGATTCCCTGATACACTACTATGAACAAATTACATAGCTCTCTTATACATCCTGAGTATATGATAAGATTTTCCAAAAGTCCCCCGACCGCTCCCCTTTGCCCTGACCATCTGCCTGTTTTAAGCCAAAATTAATGTATGTTAGGTTAAGTTAGTATAAGCCAAATTAGCGTTAGTAACATATGTAGACTCAGTTAGTTTAAAGCTAGTTTTATGTAAATACCTCTTGTTAAAGCTGCAGGCCAAAATTAATTTATGTTAGGACAAATTAGCATATCCACCACCATGACAGGGACTTAAAGATAAAGCACAAGAATTCACTGATTAACAGACAAAAAATTCAGCAAATAAATACAGGGACCTGTGGGTTAATAGAGGAAGGACAGATCTGGCTAACAGCGACAGGATAAACACACCTGAAGGCTCCAAGAGGAAGAGTAACTATCTTAGCTAGAAGTTCTTATCTAATTCGGAAAAGCAACAGATAGTTTTTAACTACAAAGTTTCTCATCTGTGTGCTGTTAACTTTGAAAAACTGCTAATAAAACATCCTGTGTTGTCTCCTGAGCTACAAAATCACCTTCCTTTCCCACATGGGCAATAGGCTTACCCCCTTTAGCTGTAATATAGATATTCCATATATTAACTGTGTCTTTACTTAACAAGACAAGATTTCTATCTAGGCCTTTGTAACCAGCAATGTTGCCACCCTGTGGGACTGAAGTTATTAAGCTGACCTGGGACTGAAGTTATCAAGCTTCCTGCAAGCCCCCTCTTCAAAAGACCCTGGCCGGTAATCAAGACTGCAGAAGAAAATGCACCAGACAAATAGACTCCTTCATTCTGAGAACTGTGTTTGGCTTTACCTGTTCAAACAGAACAGACATCATGTTTTATGATCATTGTTCTTGTGCCTTAAATTCCGTTTCATAGAGTTATTTCTCCCTCACCCCTCCTACTCCTGTAAGACATCCCTCAATAAATACGTGTGTTTGATAGCCGCTAGCGCTGCGGTCCTGAGCTTGCTCTGGCTGTAGCCGGCTGAGAACATGCTAAGGAGCATTGAGGTTTCAGACTAATTTTGTTCACTCGCGTCGCCTTCCTCCAATGAGAGAACCCACCCCCGCTGAGGCTGGACCCTGGCATTTGTCTATATGAACATGATATCAAAGTTCTAAGTAATTACATGGACAAGATGATTTTTTTATGTGAATGCATTCAGCCTTTTTTTTGTAGCCACCTCAGTCCCTGCTAACTGGGCTCAATGACACAAGGCTGATCTGACTACAGCCATTACCAATATAACCTTACAGAAGAGACCAATACAGAGTTCCTGACATGGCAGCATTCCCCAGGAGGAATAGCTAGCTGACTGGCAATACTGTACTCCCTTCATCATGAAGAGGCAATGAGATGTTCTTTGTGCAATAGATTCTAACTTTACACGTGGATTTTTCTTTCCTGGCTGCAGGGCTTCTGCTAAAATCCCATCTGGATTTACAGAATATCTCATTCCTGTCATAGTGTCTCATATTGCATCTCTTCAGACTACAAAACTCATCTCAGAAGCAAAAGGATGAGGAGGCAGTGGGACAATGCTCAGAGAACTTATCACCTCAGGTACACAGGTACCCTCTATTCCAAAACAGTTTGCCTGTATGAACTGGACTACTAACTCATTTACAGCACCTTCTGGGTGAATATTTGTTGGCCTGGGGTGTTGTTTTACAGATTACGAAATATTCCAACATATACTGCTATTTTTCCTATGGGTGGAATACACAGGTTTAGAAACAAAAGAGAGTGGCTCTTCTCATTATTACCCCTAATGACCCCGTAGCAGAATATTTGCTTCTCATCCCTGCAATGCTGGGCTCTGCTCGTTTGGAGGTATTCTTCTCCCAAAGTGAGAATGCTTTCTTTAGGGAATACAGGGGTCCCGCATAACAGGTAAAACATTTAAAGAGACTTTAAGTTTAAAGAACTCATAGCATCTTTCCTTTGTAACTGTTTCATTTTAATTTGCACCAATAAAACTCAACTCATGTATATTAACATCTCAAAGACATTCCACTTATGTGAAGACTGTACTAGGATTCATCAGTCATAGTGTTGACAATTCACCAATAATCCAAAGGTCCATAATATGCAAATCATGTGTCATGTAGTAATTGGTTTTCCTTCTGGAAAATGGTCTTCAAATGACAGATAAAACTTAGTGAAGGGAGAAGAGTCATTTTACTTATGGTGGAGTACACAACAGCATGGGACTTTTGAAACATATGATTCCTGAGAATACTGAAGTGTGGACAAACATTTCTGTATTTAAGACTCTGGGGACTTGGGCTGGCCCTGCAGTTTGGTATCAAGGAAGCCAGATCCCATGTGGCTGACTGTGGTTGGAATCCTTACCCTGGTGGCTTGAAAAACATGCTAGGTGCATGTGTGCCTGTGTCCTAAATCCCGCCAAGACAGAAATGAAGCAGAAGGGACTGTGGCATGACCATGCCCCACTGAGGGGTGCTCCTCCGGCTCTCCCTGCCTGAGTGTTTATGTCCTCAGGCAATTAAAAAAAAAAAGACTAAAAAAAAAAAAAAAAAAGGAAATTGGGAATTTTCAAAGGCATCTGGATAAAACTGTACTTTATATCATCACTGAACCCAAACAACTATAACTACGTATAGGAGAAGTAATAGAAATTGGCAATTCCTTTATTATTTATTTATTTATTTATTTATTTTATTTTTTTTCTTTTTTGGAGAGGTATTATTGCTATAGGGCGTGTGCACTCGTCAGACAGAGAGAGACAGAGAGACAGAAAGCGAGAAATCACCCCCCAGGGGGGATAACCACGCCGCAATCCCTTCTCCTCCATTCTCCTCTAGGGATCTTGGGCACGCATGCACACGTGCCCAGCATGAGTTTATGCCACTGGGTCTGGGATGCGAACCACGGTCGACTACATGGGAGTCCAGTGACATAGCCATTATGCTAACTGCTGGTCCCGGCAATTCCTTTATTTTAAAAAAATTATTTATTTAATTTTATTTATTTATTCATTTATTTTATTTTGGCCAGAGAGAGACAGAGAGAGAGGGAAAGTGAGAAAACAAGCCACCAGGTCTAGGACTTGAACTGCGGTGAGCCACGTGGGAGTGCTCAGTACCTTAACTACCACGCCATGAGCTGGTCCTGAAATTGGCAATTCTAATTCAAACTAATCTTGGAATAGAAGAGTCAGGAGATGATACTTTTCCTTCATTATTTTAAAATACATAAAGTTAAGACCGTAAATATTAATGTATTTCTTTTCCTAAACAACATTTACTTTTTAGTTATTATAATGAATGGAAAGATATACATATTTCCCATTAGCTGAGACTGCTAAACTCCCACTTGAAATATTGTATTCAGCAAATATAAAAGACTACATATAGCCAAATGTGAAAAGCTGGATTTTAATGAACACACTTAGATAGGTGGGTAAAGACCATAGCACAATAATTATGATGTGAAAGGGTCACAGAGATAATTGTTTTAAATGAGCAGAACTAAGTGTTCTATGTTGCTTGATAACGAGGAGGATGTGAACACTGAATAGTTACTAAGTCAGGCATTATTCTAAGTATTAAGTAATTAAGCCTCAAAATGATCACATGAGGAGTCCTTTATTCACATTCTCATTTTATAATAATAAAGAAATGGACGTAAGAGAGGTTAGGTAACTTGCCAACTGAGGACACACAGCTAGTAACAACAAGGGAGGGGTCCCGACCCAATCTGCCTAGCTGGAGTCTTCTCTTACCCACTCTCAAGCATGGATGATACCAAGGGCTGGGACTAGTGTGAGGTAAGTGAGACGACACTTGTCTTGGGTATAAAATTCAAAGTCGTCAAAGAAACCTTTGCGATCAGACAGATATAATGCAATAGTATAAAAATTTAGAATGTAAAAATTCTGTAATGAACAAAACATACAAATTTAAAATAAAAACAGAATTGAAATTACTGCTTTTTCCTTTTGACTGAGTGAGGCTCCTATATGGCTTGATACTAGATACTACTAATCCTGTCTTTTCTTAAAATTCTATGCCTGAGGCAAGGGCTCACTTCCCTCATCTGCCTCATCCTTGTCTGGGCCTTATTACATACCAGAATAAAATCCAACCCCAATTTTCCCTTTATATTAAGTACTGAGCTCCGGTCAATGATTGGCTAATTTAATTAGAGGAATAATTATCTGGACTGCTGATACCATCTTTCTGAAACATGCAATGGGCAAAAACAGTCGACAGTATATAAATATTACTGAATATAATGAATATTAACATTTAAAACATTCATATTTTAGGCTGAAAAGAGAAGCCCATTTGGGCAAAAAAGGTTCTAAATCTTTCTTTTTTAAAAAATCTTGCTCAAAGGCATGTAACTTCACTGGAGAGAGAGACAGAGAGAAGTGGTAGCGGAATGAGAAAGCAATCCCCAGGAGGGACGGCCACACTGCAATCCCTCTTCTTTCACTTCCTCTCAGGATTTTGGGCATGTGCGCACACGTGTGGTATACTTTTCATGCTGCTGGGTATACAATTCGAAGTGTGCATCCCATCATGTGGGACTGAGCTCCCTTAATCACTAGTTAGTCCCAGAAAATTCTATACTCTTATTCACAGCGATGAGATGGAATCAGCGGAAGTGCCCAACAAGCCATGAATGCATTAAGATGTGGCACCAATACACAACAGACTACTACTTGGCCACAAAGAACAACGATGTCCTGTCAGAAACACAAGTGAGCAAACTCACAAAACATAATGCAAAGTGAAACAATCTAGGGTATGAAAAACAAATACTGTATGTCCCCACTTCACATATTCTGAATGTCCGCACTCCGTGGTGAAAAGTGAAGAACTCGATGGCTTGGACATAGAAAGGGTAACGGTATATGCCAGGCACTGCACGAAGGGCAGGAGAGCTGGAGAAGAAAATGACTGACAGACACAAGAATGCATGGAACCAAGTGCCGTAGGTTATGGACCAACGTAAACAGCTGAGTGAAATATGTCCAGGATGACGAAAATGTCTATATCCTTGACTTGATTACTGTATACTATTTACACTATATGCATGCTTTGAAAAACCATACTGTACTTCATAAAGATGAACAATTATATGTAAACCAGAAATCAATTTTTAAAAAGCGTAAAAAAAAAAAAACTTAAAAAACCTGTTAAGTCTGCTGCACTATCCTCACCACACTGAATAATCACATATGCATTTAACAAATTGGATTGAGTTCTTATTAGATACTACATCTAAATTTGGTGCTCCAGTAATAACAGAATGATTAAATGGAACTTTTTAAAAAGTTTTTCTATAGGGCATGTATACATGCCAGTGACACAAAGAGAGAGAGAGATACAAGAGAAAGTGAGAGATCACTCTCCAGGAGGGATGGCCATGCCGCAATCCTTCTATCCCATCTCCTCTTGGGATTTTGGGCACTTACACACACTCACCCTATGTGATTTTCAAGCTGCTGAGTCAGAGACTCAAAAAACAGAGTTGGCCGTGTGGGATCCAGTGCTTTAACCTCAATGCTGGCCCTAAGTGGAATTTTTATATTGGAAAAGGAGAGCAGAAGAGAACTATTTTTTTGGACATACCTACTCACGGGGGTAGATATGTACCTTCTATATTTTCTCATTTAATCTTCATGTTACCCCTGTTTTGTAGATGGGAATTTGGAAAGAGGTTGAGTAATTTGTCCAAGATCAACTGGTACAAAGTGGCAGAACTAGATCTAAACCTAGATCTACCTGACTTAAAAATAAACAAACAAAAAACACTTGTGTGATAATTCAAATTTCTATAAAGTCTGTAGAGCAAACTAGCAAACACGATAGTGCAAAAGTGAAAATATAAAACTGGTTATTAGATTAAAACCATAAAAAGTCCTCATGTGGACAAAGAGAAAAAGAAAATCACTGGGTAACTGAAGCTGGTAAAAACATTCTTCAAAAATTTATATAATAATAAAGAGGGGACCAGCAGGTGGCATGGTAGTTAAAGCACTGGACACTCCCACATGGCTGACCATGGTTTGAGTCTCGGACTGGTGGCTTACTTTCTCATTTTCCCTCTCTCTCTCTCTCTCTCTGTGTCTCTCTCTGGTTAAATTAAAATAAATAAATGAATAAATAAATAAAAGAAATGAAAAAAATTTGTAAAAAAAAGATAAAGAAATTAGGTTGAATAAAACAGATCTAAGTGTCATATTTGTACTTTTCATGATGTAAAATGAACAGAAAGAGTTTAATGTATGGTCTGCTTGAGACAGAAATGAAGGACTTTCAAGAAATGCTTTAGCAATGATTAATCCAAACTTCCACAGCCTAGGAAGTCGACTGGTCGCCATCAGTACACCGAACAGCAAAGTGCTGTCATTAACCTTTACGTAACTGTACGTATAAATGGAACTAAAGCCTGAAGCTTTTGCACATGATTGACAAAAGGTCACAGGATGGTCACTGAATATAAATAAACCAGTTACATAGTTTCTACATTTTCCTCACCATACTTAGTGACCCTGTACTTCATCCTTTATATTTATTTTCAACTTATTTCTCTACTGAAGGATACCAAGCTTGTTTGTTTTTGCCAGAGGGTCCTGTGTTCACCAAAATCAGAGAGAGAGAGAGAGAGAGAGAGAGAGAGACAGACAGACAGACAGACAGAGAGAAAACACCCATAATGGCACATGAGCATATCATAATCCCTTCTCTACTTCTGTCTTGTCTGGATTTGGGGTATACACATGCACACATGCCTGGAGTGTTTTTCAAGGCACCAGGGCCAGGATTTTAACTATAAGGTTGGTCATGTGGGATTAGCTCCTTTAACCACCAGGCCACAGAGCTCACCCCCAAAATTCTAACTAAAATTCATTAATACAAAAACTTGGTTAGTAGGGACATGAATGCCAATAGTGTCTTGAATGTCTTAGGTCTGATTGGTGAAAGGAAAGAGAACAGGGAGAAGTTATCTAAATTTGAAATATTTTACAGCAGAATAGTAACTTTACTCAACATTGAACCGAGTCTCATTAGACAGTTGCTTGCTCTGAGCGACACTAAGAAGTGTTTAACTTTTTAAAATGCAAAAATGTTTAAAAAATTAGCATACCAGCAATAATCACAATGTACAAGTTAATTCTCCAATTTCTAAGGTAGGTGGTACCTGTCAATTGGTTAGAAAAACCTACAAAATCACTCTTGAGTTTTCTCAAATTATAAAGTAAAAGCAACATTGTAAAGGAAATTAGCACTTACTTGATAATCATTTCTCTTAATATTTGGAACATCCATGTTGTGAGTAGAAGGGCAAATATCTTCATACTTTTTGCCAGTGAAAATATCAATCCCAACAAGGTGAACCTAACACAGAATAGGAAACTTGTTTAATTTCTGCCAAGCCTATCACTCATTACACACACAAGAGCACAATACCAATGCTGATTATGAAAGACTTTCTCCTTTTTCCAAGGTCATGCAATTTTACTTTCTTTTAAAAAAATGTAGTCATAGAATTGAGACTCAGTTAACATGACATGCCAGGATTCGGTGTAATACATAGGTCAGTAATTCTAAGAGTACATAAGAGAAATGGAGTTAGGATTGTTAGAGCTGGTTTTCTATCTGTAAACGGAAAAGAGGTTTTCCATCAGACTCAGGAAAGTTTCAGGTCCTCGTTAATAAAGCATTAGAAGGCCTCAAGAACAGAAACTACCTTTAAGTCTTCAAAGCAATAGCTGATCACACAGTAATTTTAAGAGGGAAACACAGGCTTGTTACACGATTTTAAGTATAGAAATTTCATGATCAGTAATGGAATACAAATGATCAAAATCCCAATGCTGAAGTCCAAGACTGAACTGGAAGGGCCCTTACCTTGGCATGGCCGTGCTTTCCAGTTTTGGAAGGTGACATCTCCACTATCTTGCACGGTCGTCCTTTCAGCACCACGAAGCCGTTTTTGCGCAGGGCTGAGCACTGCATAGGATAAGTGCTGGAAGCCCCAGCATCTCCCGTAGTGAAATCAATTTCATCCGCCATGGTGGGCTGGGGAGATGGTAGTTCTTCCGAGGGACTACGCGAAAAGTTTGCATTTGCTTTTTAACGACCAGCATGCAGGCAGGGAAACGTTTCATTTTGGACAGGTTGCGTGCCAAACATCGTGGGTCTGTTATTGTTACATTTATAAAACCCACCCAAGACTAGCGGGCACTTTATAACTCTGGCCTCTACAAACTTTTCCAGCCATCGGTGGAGAGAAGTCACAGATGAGCTCGCTGGGGGTGGCGGACACCCGCTCTGCGGGTGCTCACCTGCGCCGGCAGCAGCTAGTGCAGCCCCCACCGCCCCACCGCCCCACCGCAGAGGAGCGGGCGACCTTCCCTCGCTGTGCCGCGCAGCCCGGCCCTCTGCCGCCGCCCCGATCCCCACTGCGGGGGGCCCAGCCCAGGCCTCCAGTCCCCGCAAAGGATGGAGGACAGGACCCGGCCAGCAGCACTCGGTCCTCGGGCAGCGGGCGCACGCCCCGCCCTGCACCCTGCAGCGCCGCCGCCCGGGCCGCATCGGAGCCCTGTTCTGCCGGCATCCCCAGCCCGGCCCGTCTCGGCCCGGCCCCGCAAGGGCCTGAGCCCAGCGGGTCCCGCGCTAGCCTCGGTCCTCCGATCCATCCTTCCTCCTTCCCCGGGCCAGGGCACGGGTCCTGCCGCCTTACCGGCCCCAGCTCGCCCCGGTCCCAGCCCCACCAGCTTTCCCCCGGGCCTTAACCTTTCTGCAGCCACAGAGCGCCTTCAGCCTGTCAGCCCCACTTCCGGGATAGGCCCCGGCGCGGCACAGGCACCGCCCCCTCGGGCTGTCATTGGCTACGAGCTCCCAGAAGCCCCGCCCAGTCACGTGAAGAGCGCCCTGGCAACCCCACGTGCTGCGGATTAGTGCACTTCCGGCGTGGAGAGCGCTTTCGCGAGTCTGGTTGCAGAAGGAGGACTCGCCGGCGGGAAACTCGCTCCCTCCAACTTCGGGCTTCGTGGGTTGTGAATTCTAGTTGAGGTTAACCGAAACCGAGCTGGACGCCCAAGTGGCTCCTGTCCTCAAGTGCGTGACGGTTGTTACGTGATGGTCGTCAGAACTCGCGAGGCGAGTGAATTCAAGAAGATCCCTCGTGGCTGTGCAGGGAGTTTAGGATTCGAATTGCTGTCCAGCTTGCAACCCTCTTTGGGATTCGAACCCACCCTGTTCTTTGATGAGCCCTGGTGCAGTTTTTATTATTTGACCCTGCATTGCTGGTTCCTCTGGGGACCCCAGCCACCCCATGGTGAGATTCTGGCGGCCACTGCCACGGGGTGCCCCTTTGGAGTCAGCAGGCTCCCAGAGGTGGGAACCCTAAAACACCTGCAATTAAGCAGCTGTGAAAGGACCTAACCCTCTGCACACACCGGACGCTGTGGAGGCTAAGGGTGTCACTGCGTTGTTCCGTCCAGAAAGGTCTGCCGGGTCAGCCCTCTGTCCTGGCGTTGGCATTCCTTGGCGTGGCGTTCGTCTGTCCCACCTTAGGACGATCGCATTGCCTTCAAAGTCCACCGAGAACCGGTGGACTTGAGTAGGATTAGAGTCAGGTTTATAAACGAGATGTGCTTTTGTTGTCACAGTTCCGTTTCACAGTCCAGCACCTGCGCCCACCGTCTCTCCACGCCCCGGCACTTCGTGTTGCTGTCTCGTGTGTAGTCCCATTTCTCACATGACTGACAGCTTACACGAAAGTTACAGACGTGTTGTCTGGTTTAACCTTCACAATAACCAAGGGACTTCGGTAAACCAGACTCGGCCTTTAGATAATGCATGAAAGAGTCAGATTGGAATTCTGGCTCATGTGCAGGCTCCGTGTTGCTTTAACCACCAGAACTTGCCCTATTATTGGTATTGAGATGGTTGCTATGATGATTGCTAATAGAGAGTATTTATACAGACAGATTTTGTACTAAATGTTTTGTGTGCATTATTTAATCTTGACTGCTACTCTTTTTAAACTTAAACTAGAAATTTAAGTTATAATTCATATAAAATAAAATTTATCATTTTTAGTTCTATGAGTTTTGGAAGACATAGGTAGTTGTGTATCTTTTTTACATAAGATTTGGAATCAAATGATTGGACTTTATTCCACAAGTATAAGACATTTTCTTGAAGTTGCCAGACCACTGATTTAATAAATATTGCTCCTAGGGAAAAGAGAGGGTAGGTTGCCTGTGAGTCACAACGTTTTCATTAACTGGTTAATGTTTGCTCTTATTTAATGTGTGCTCTGTCTAAAGATACATTATGTGGTATGTACTGGGTCCTCATAAAAGTCATGACATATTTTTCTATGCAAAATGCATCATGGCTTTGCCAACAACCCAATATGTTGTTGATTGTTTAACATTGAACTCACAACCAATGGTACATGATTCCTGTCTGAAGGTGGCTTTTCTAATATATTTTCTCTGTAAGGTACACCACAGATGTTTTTGTGCTCGGGACATGGCAGTTCTTCAACAGGATGCTTGGGGTCCATTTTAAACAGTGAAATCAATGAATGGCACAAAAATGCAGAAAATGTGGCATTAGGTAGACTGAAAAGAATTCTTATTCATAGGTTGCCAGCTGAAAGGAGAAAGCAGAGCACTGCCCCGATTGACCTTAGCTAGAAAGATGTACATTGGGACCAGCCTGGAGCGTGGTGGGAAGGGTGGCTGGATCCCACGTGGCCTACGGTGCTATTTGAGTCCTGGATCTGGTGGCTTGAGAAACATCAGGAGTATGTGAGTGACTGCTCAAAATCCCAAAAAGGAGGGAGAAATGGATGAGAAGGGATTGTGGCGTGACCATTCCCCCTGAGAGGAGCTTTCTCATTCACCCCTTCTCTAGTGAGCCCATGTATCCTCTGGCAAAATTTAAAATGCTACAAGTACAGTTGATGTTGGGGCTACCTGTTTTTTTTTTTTCCCCAAATGGCTAGGTCCTTGTGGGAAAGAGAGAGAGAAGGAGAGGGAAAAAGCACCTTCTGATAGCATGTGGTCACACTCCGATCTCTGCCTTCGTTTCTTCAACCTGTCTGGATTTTGGCCACATACATACAGTCGCCCAGTGTGTTTTTCAAGCTGCCAGGGCCGGGAATCTAACTGCTCAGTCAACCGTATGGGATCTAGCTTTTAACTAGTATACCCCAGGGCTGGCACAAAGTAAATTTTATTGAGTATTCAAATCCCCAATTATGGAATCCAAAGTAAGTGATGATAGGCTGTGTGTGTTTTAGGACTTCGATTCTCTTACCTCTGGAATTGCCACATTAGCCAGAATAGTCCTTGCTTGTGAGGTGCTCACCGTCTAGTGTAGCAAACAATCGAGCGATTCATGATTCTGAATTTTCTTGTAACTACATGAAACAGTGAAAAACCCCCATGATATTAATTTTAATATTAGATTTTATTTAACTTAATATGTCCAAAGTATTAATTTACACATAACCAATGTAAAAATTATTAAAGGCTAGCCAGTGGTTAAGGCAACTGGATCCCACGTAGCTGACTGTAGGTTTGAGTCCTGGACCTGGTGGCTTGAAAAACACGCTGGTTAGACACCAGGAGGTGCCGTAGTGGGGCGCTGGACTCCCACTTGGCTGACTGCTGTTTGAATGGCTTGAAAATTGCACTGGGCATGTGTGTGCATGCCCAAAATCCCAGGAAGAAGATGGAGGAGGAGAGATTGCGGCATGGTCATCCTCCATGGGGAGTGATTTCTCACTTTCCCTCTCACTCTCTCTCTCTCTCTCTCTCCAGCTAGCACATGCACCCTATGGCAAAAACAAAACAAAACAAAACAAAACAAAAACAAACAAAACCCCAGAAAACCACTGGGCATGGGTGCACAGGTGCATGCATGCCTAAAATCCCAAAGGGGGAAATGGAGAAAGATTGTGGTGTGACCGTTACCTATGGGGGATGCTTTCTCACTTTCTTTCTCTCTCTCTCTCTTTCTCTCTTTGTCTTGCTTTTCAGCAAGAGCATGTATGCTCTAGCAAGTTAAAAAAACATTTTAAGATATTTACATTTTTTGTCTTTACTGTTCTTTTTGCTAGGCTTCAAACTTTGATGTATACTTTAATTTTGATATTTTTCTTTATGCCTGATAGAGCACATGTACACACATGTGAAAGGGAGAGAGAGAAGCATGCACCTCCACAGGGTCTAGTCATGCATGATCCCTGTCCTCTAGTTCTCCAGTCCAGCAGGTTTTGGACACCCACATTTGCAACCAGCATGTTTCAGATGAACTAGGCCAAGGACTCAAACTGTGGTCACCACGTGGGAGCCAGCTTCTCTTGAGCAGCTCATCATTGCTGTACCATGGAGCCTGCCCTGATGTGTATTTTATATTTAATATACAGCTTAATTTAGACTATTCATATTCTGATTACTCAGTAGCTATGTATTATATATGTGTTAGCTATCATATTGGACATCACAGGTCTAGAAGGCTTAGAAGCTGCTTAGCTGAGGGTGATACCCAATTTGCGATTTGAAAGATAATTAGTAGTTAGCACTTTGAAATGATTACTTTTTGTGTTATGTGAAATACAACTCAATTAAAAATGCCTTATGCTCTACATAAAAATGAATTGAAAATGGATTATGGGCTAAATGCACAGTAAAACTCAGAGAACACAGGAAAATGCCTTCATACTCAGCAAGTATACAAGGAATTTCTAGGTAAGACATAGCAATGACCATAAAAGGAAAAGCAGTATGTTAACTCTTACAACAAATGTAGCTATTAAGATACTTTCAATAGATAGGTGAATGGATAAGCCAAGTATGGTATATCCATGCAATGGAATATTACTCAGCAATAAAAAGAAATGAGCTATCAAGCCACGGAAAAGTTATGAATGAGCCTTAAATACATATTGCTAAGTAAAAGAAGCCAGTCTGAAAAAACTATATACCATATGATTCTAAGTATGAAATCTTTTGGAATATGGAAAACTCTTGAGTCAGTAAAATATTAGTTGTTACCAAGGGTCTGGAGGAGAGAGCGGAAGGGTTGAATAGTTGAAAACAGGGAGTTATTTCAGGACTATCAGACTATTCTGCATGGTCTATCAAGGAGGGTACCTGATATTTGCATTTGCCAAAACCTGTACCTCTTTACAATAGCAGTGTGAAATTTAATGTACGCCATTATAAGAAATCATTAGGAGATGGTAGGATCCAGGAAAGAATACAGATGTGACAAGAGAATCTATATTACAGATATATAAAACAGCCTCAGTGAAGGGGGTAGGGAAGGTGCTGACCTAGATAACTAAGGAAGTGAGTGAAGGCAACCTCATGGCATTCAGTGCCTTAACCTCCATTCCACCTGCTGGCCCCTGTCATGAACTTTTTGATATCCCATGTATGTGTACTGGAATTGAACAATGAAGTGAATGAATGATGCAAGATAGAAGCCGGTTTTCTCAATTTTGGAATGAGAATTTACAAGTAAGGAAGGAGGGGAGAATAGAATGAGCTATGTGGAAATAGATAAGATTCGGGGGGTTCTGTATGAACTCATGTTTAGCTTAGTACAGCTACAGATGGTTACTAACAGGAATATTTGTAGTCATATGTATTGCACAGGTTAGTACACATACATATTCACTGTTATTTGAGACAGCCTTAAAGCAAAATATCCCAGAAGCAATGAGTGGATGTGGCTTCCAGATCTTGGTTTCTAATATTCTCCAATAAAAGGAATCAGGGTGTTTGGGGAATGTCTGAT